ATTTCCTAACATAGAAACGGTGCTGACTGCTTCTTCAGAGTAACATAAGTTAGTGATACTACTGAAATAGTTGTGGTTCAGACGTAGATCTGATTTCTCCTAAGCACGCTGAATTCACAGCTGTTGATCCTCCAGCGGAGGCTTTGCAATTGAACACCTGTGGATAGGTAAATTTCCCGCTGTTGTTCTCCTCTCCTCTTGTTTTGTTTTGTTTTGTTTTCCTAGTAGAATAGGCTTAAGACTCTGAAGAAACAGGCTGCTTTTTTTCATTTCCAACACTGGCTGTTCCTCCTGAGCCCCGCCTTCTATTTTTGCAGTCACAGGATTTTCATAGTTTCTTCTTCTTCGTCTTCTTCTTCTTCTTTGTCTTCTTCTTTGTTTTCTTAGTCTTCTTTGTTTCTTCTTCTTCTTCTTTGTCTTGTTCTTCCTTTTCCTGGTCTTCTTCGTTTCTTCTTCCTCTTTCTATTCCTCTTCCATTTCCTCTTCCTTCTCTTCCTCTTCCTTCTCTTCTCCTTCTTCTCCTTCTCCTTCTCCTTCTTCATCTCCTTCTCCTTTTTCTTCTTCTCCTTCTTCTTCTTCTCCTCCCCCTCCTCCTCCTCCTCCTTCTTCTGCTTCTTCTGCTTCTTCTTCTCCTTCTCCTTCTTCTCTTTCTTCATTTTTTTAATCTTCTTAGTTTCTTTGTCATCATTGTCACTGTTTTCGTATTCTTCTTCTTATTATTATTTTTCTTCTTCTTTTAATCTTCTTCGTTTCTTCGTCATGGTCGCCTTGGTCTTCTTCTTCTTCGTCTTCTTCTTCTTAGTTGTTGTAGTATTCCTCTTCTCTTTCTTCTTTCTTTCTTCTTCTTTCTTTCTTCTTCTTCATCTTCATAGTCGTCTCTTTGGCCTTACCCTTTGGGTCAGAACGGCTGGTTCCTGTGAGCCTGAGGCCAAACCCTCAGAGCTCAGGATGGCTGGCACCTGTGCCGCCCGAAGCCAGAACTCCGGGCTTCTGGAATACCGGCCTCCTCGCCTCCCAAGCCTGGCTCCACATGTCTCAGGATGGCTGGCAACTGTGCCACCTGAGACCAGCCCCCCAGGCCCTGGGACAGCCAGTCCCCGCACCGCCCGAGGCCCGTCCCTTGGGGCTCGGGGCGGTTGGCCCCCACAACTCTGAATGCAGGTCCCCCCCGGACTTCGGGCACATTTTAGTGTGGCACTGCCCAGGTGCATTTCTCACGTAGAGCTAATGAGCAGCTGAGGTAAAGGAGCTGGGAACAAAGAGGTATTGCACAACAGTATGTTTCATCAGTAGTAGTCAGCGTTTCAGAGGGGGTGGGCATCAGAGCCGGCATGGTAGTGAATGTTGGTACTCTGTTTTTGCAGATGATGATGAGTCTGGCAATTGACTAAGATGTCTCTCAGTGCCTGTACATGTCTTGAGGCAGAGGGAATTTACCATCCAGCAATCTGAGATCTAAGTTGAGGGGCACCTGGTATTTGCATATCTGGGGTGGCTTATGGGAGCTGGGAGTCAGAGCACCGTGGAGCCACCGGGCTGAATGTACTCAGTGCTACTGTGAGGGCGGTTCAGGCTGGGTCATGTTCAGGCTGCTTGTGGCTGGGTCACCAGGCTAATAGAAGAAGCAGGGGGTACCTTGTAGCGTGAGTGCGTGTGCCAGGCAGGACAGTTCCCTTCTGTTCATCTGTCTTGTAGTGTTGCTTCTGCAGCGTGTGTTCTGAGTTATGCTCTCCTTGGGTCTTGATATCCTTCTTGCTTTTTGCACTGGACTGACTAGACTAGGGACTTGGTAGCTGTGCCAAAGGTCCTAAATGCCTGTTTCGTCATCATGGCTCTGATCTGAGCACTTCCTGTCTTGCAGACGCTGCAGAAGTGCAGATCTGTTTCAGGTCTTGTGCATCACATTTGGTTTTAGATCGCATCTGTTTCCATCCTCACTCTTGCAGAAATCACCTGGGTCACATCAGGAGCTCTTGCTTGAGAGTTCATTTCCTAAGTGTCTTCTTACAGGGTTTTCACTGCACGTTCTGGTCTCTAGTCTTAAAGGCAGGCTTTTTATGCCTCCATCGTCCCAGTTCTGGCAGTTGCTTCCAGTCGCATGTCGTGACACTTGAGTCTCTCCTTGGGTCTGCTGCAGAGCACCTGTTCAGACTTGCTGTTGCAGTAGGGCTTCCCTCTGGGGGTCATTTTTTCTTGCACCTTGTGTTCTGTGTTTTGTTTGTAATGTTTGTAGAGTGCCTGTATGTGTGTTTGGTCTGGAGCTGTCCTGCCTGGCAGTTAGTGATGATAGCTATGTGGCAGTGCATGGGTGTACTAATACACTGTCCGCACTGTTTTTTGCAAAGACATCCAGTCTACTTCTGGGCACATACTGAAGGGCAGCTGGCACGGTCATCTCAGTGGTGTTTGGCAGATGTGGAGGTGGGAGAGTTGAGCTGTTTGCGAGCAGCTGTTCGCATAGTGCTTGAATAGTGCTAGAGGAGAGATGTGTTGTTGAATTGTCAAAGCTTGCGGATGTGGATGACTTTTTTTTTCCTTTTTTTTTTTTTTTTTTTTTTTTTTTTGCCAGGCTTAGATAAACCTTAGGAGGAACCAGTCAAGGGAAAGAATACCTTCCGGAACTGTCAAGCTCTCGTTCAGCAGCTCAGTGACTGGCTTGGTCTACTTCTGAGGTGCTGATGCAAGGGGGCTGCTGTTTTGAAATGATGATACTGTAAATGGGGTCCTTTGTGTTGTTGAGGGATGGGTGCTAATGCTGGCAGCTGAATGATTATCTTGTGACTATTTTCATTTATTAAAGCTGAAACACAGTGTACAACACGGGACTT